CTCTAGTAAAAATCTTTCTGCTATTTTTCCTAGGTTCATCTTTCCAGTTTCTGTGCTATTATTATTATTCGAATGTTTGCTTTCATCTGTAACTTCTTCTAGGTATTGATCGCCAAATTGTAAATTTTCACCTTCATCTAAGTAGATTTGTCTCAATTCCTGAGTTAATGGGATCCATAGTTTTCGTGTCTGATGTCTTTTTTTTAGCGAATTTTTGATTTTCGTAAAAACGTCTGAAGTCGTTATCTTAGTGTGCTTACTAGCAGGTTTTAGATCATCCGGAATATCAAATACACATCCATCGGGTGTCTCGATTGAAGTTATACAGATCACATTTGTTTTTCCATCAGTTGCTGCTAACACAGCAAATGTAAATCTTAATTTTTCCATATGATTTTTTTGACTATTAATGTCGTTTTATAAGACTATAAGTCGGGATTTTTAAGAACCGGCAAAAATTAAACTTATGTGTTGCTCTGAAATACAAAGATTTATTGTAAGCGTAAGTTTACAACGAGAAACAACCTATTATATACTATAAATAAATGTTGAAACACAAATTACTATCTTACCTGAAATACAAAGAAACGACATTAAAAGTTATTGCCAGGTTTTGTCGAATCCTTTTTACAAATAAAATTATTAATTTTTACAATTTCACATTTAAAAATGTTTTACACTATGACACTCATCTGTCTGACAGCGCCTCAATTCAAATTTAATATAAAGAATTTAGAATAGTAACATATTAAAGAGATCTTATTTCTTTACATATATTTTAATAACACTAATTATTCGTTCTGATTTTGCTCATTTGTAAATTGACGCACATTATCATAGTTCTAATTTGTTGATTTAAATTCGTAATAATTTTAGTATTTAAAAAAAATCTAAATCAATTTTTAAATCGTTAATTTAAAAATATATACAAAATATATACATTAAAAACAATATTTATCAGTAAAATATAATTATCACACAATGGTCCTATCAAATGAGACTAAAGGGCGTAATGTCATACGCCATACTATGCGTTAATATACTATGTATTTATTTCATACAAGCTGACACGAAAGATGTTAGTTACCCTGTGCATATATTTCAATTTTGTTTGTAATCTTTGAGTAGGTACTTACAAAAAATCCATTTCATATTTTCCGGATAACTTTTCCATTTTTTCTCTAAAAATCTTATAAAGCTATGCTACGCACGATGCGGGATTTTCGGAACCCTTGCTAAAGAAACATCTATTTTTAATTTGATCATTTGGTATGTGAACAAACATTAATAAATAATAGGTAAGGTTAATACATATAACGAAGCGTACGAAAATCGATCCTGTAACCCTCCATCAAATAAAAAAACCTACCCTAACAGCAACCTATAAAAACTTCTTAAATTATATATATGTAAGTACTATTGATTTACCATAGCTTCGTTCGGGTAACTACCAAGCAGTAGATGTAGTAGTATATTCACTATTCTTCTACTAGATCATACATAATCTATCTTCTAACAAAAAGTTTCATCCAAATACGTTCAGCCGTTTCAACGTGAAGGAGTAACAAACAAACATACATACAAACTGACGTATTTAAAATAGCAGTCCAATTAGTATAGATATACTATATTTATAAAGCGTAAAATAAACTTAAATTGTGTCTTTAACAATATTGCTATTGTATAATGGTTTTTTATCGGCAGGGTCGTTCATGTTATTTACCTTTGACCTTCAGTAAGAATTATGAAACAATCGTCGTACCTACTTTGAATGGCAGTCACTTTCACTTCTAATAAATCTGAATTAACAATTTTAAAATAATTTAGAATGCGAATACCTTGAACTCTGAAAGAGATCGTATAGGTACTTTTTTAACTGCGAAGCAAACTCAAAAGGTGGGTTATATGATTGACCTGTACCTATCATAGGTAACCTATGTACTGTGCCGGATTTAACATAGTAATGACGGATGTAACTCCTGGGCATAGTAAAAAACGGCGCCCATTTTCAAAATTTTGAATAAAATTTTGAAAATTAATTTTTTTTTATTATTTTTTTTTGAAAATTTGCAAAAAATATATAAATGATATCAATTTTTCGAAAAATTTAGTTAAAATTTTTTCCGCCCTCCGAATTTTGCCGCCCCTAAAAATTTGCCCTGTGCACTAGCCGCGAGTGCCCCTATTGTAAATCCAACGCTGCCTATGTTAGGTCTAGGTTCACATAGGATCGAGCAACTTTAAAATATATAACATTAGTTCTATGGTCTTCGTGGTTTTTTGAAATATTAATAAAAAAATACGAATAAAGTAATTTTGATTTTCAATAATAAAAAAATCTAGAAACTTCTACTTCGTAGACTAATTGTTCCACTATCCAAAAATATTTTTAATATGATAAAGGTTAGTTAATAGTTGTATAAGCTAAAGTGATAATTGCACCTGTAAGTCTCGTCGTCGTTTTATATTACGCAATACAGCTATCATTCACACATATGTATATGAAGTACCTATAATAATTCTAGGCATCTGATAATATATGATGAAATGGCTTTATAAGTATTAACTATTAAGAAATTTCATGAATTTTTATTTTTTATATATTTTTTTTATTTTGTTGTAAATTCTTCTTTTATTGTGTTCTTATATTGTAAGTGTGCAGTGGTAGCGCAGTAGTAACGCGCTTGCTTGGGAAACCGAGTGAAGCGGGTTCAAATCCGGATCTCGCACCTATGATATTTTCATGTGCGAATTATTTCCAACATGATTACCACTTGTCTTACGGTAAAGGAAAACAAAAATGTCTGAGAGAACTTGGCAAATTTTTGAAAGATATGTGTAGTCCGCCAACCCGTACCCGGACCCGGCCAGCGTGGTGGACTATGGCCTGATCCCCTCGTATTGAAAGGAGGCCCAGGCCCACTCCCAGCAGTGGGACGTTAAATACTACTGAATACATAATTGTAATAGCACTTTTAACTGTACACTTGTTTTAATACTATTCAGCTAAACATAATTACTCTGGGACAATGACAATTAACCAACATAAATTAAATTCAATTCAATTTCCTTGTTAATGGCTTTAAAGTATTATGGCTTTAAAGTATTAATTTAAAAAAATATATGTAATGGGATTAAAAATGTATTACCACAGAATACAAAGGTATAATCAGAAAATTTCAAACCTAGTATGAGTCCAAAGTAAAATTAATAGAGGTATTCAATATGATAGGCATAAGGCTCGTAGCACATGTAACGAGGTCACTCATTTATTATACAATATACATATACAGTTGAGTTAGAACGTGTAAATGTACACCTTAGGTTAAGGAATAATATATGACAATGTATTGGACCAAATATAAAAACAACCAATGTCTTAAAATTGTACAGAAATGACAATTTGTATACCAAGTGATAAGTTTATTTGTTAATAAAATATAAATAGCTAAAGTTTTTTTTTATAATAAGATAACTAATGCTTAATACAAAAGTATATAGTATTGTTTTTATTATTGATATATTATTCCCAAAAATTGTATATTAACTTAATTAATACATACACTTATATATAAAATTCCCCTTATTCTCTAAAGAAAGTATTAAGTAAACAATCTGTATGGCAAAATCAAGAATCTATACTATTATAGAGGCAGAGTTTGTTTGTTTGTTTATTTGAACGCGCTAATCTCAGGAACTACTAATCTGATTTGAAAAAATCTTTTTGCATTAAATTAAAGAGCCTGTTTATTGAGGAAGGGTATATTTGCTATATATCATCATGCTACTACCCAAGGGAGCGGTAACCATAAATGGCAATAAATTGGGTTGTCTTCCATACATTATTACTAATAAGTAATAACATAAAGCTAAAGAGATTTTTTTGTAGTTTTAGCGCGAGCGAAACTGCGGGTTCTGCTAGTAGTAAGTAGTATAAGCAGCAAATCACACTACTATTTTTGACTTTGACATTTGTTTTGGAGGACTCCATCTATATATATTTTTAGTCTAAGATGATGATGATGAATAAATAAAAAATTTAAATGGTGGTGGGTGGTACAATTATTAAAAATGTTTAATTAAAACTATATTTTGAAGTAAAACTTCTTTAGGCGTGACTGAGAGGCAACTCGATACATTGGAAAAATAAGTGTTGTGGAAGTGAGAGTCAAATTTATTATTAATAATTGAAAAAATATATATATTTATAATTTTTTAAGTCTTTCTGTTTTAATTTTCAGAGGTTGTCCCAAATTTTTACCTCTTTTTAATAGTATAAGATTAGAATGACATTGTAATATTTAGCACATTTCAATACTCTTCAAATGTTTGTTAAAGTCATTAAGTTGTATGATGTTAGATACCACACTAGATAAATATTTAATAATAATATATAAGTCACAGGGATCAAGTCTCATGCATAGCAACAACTTTAAAAAAATAAATTATTGAACCTTTTCAAAGTACTATTTTATTAAGAATTTACAAAATTTGTAATATGAACACATATGTACACTATTATTTACCAGCGACTTACTTACGCTTCGCTCAGTGCATCTCTAGGTATATTTTAATTTCTTTGAGCAGAACCCTAATTCTTTTTCTAACATAAAAGTTGCCTAAGTTACTCCTAATAACATCAGCTATCTGCCAGCGAAAGTCCCGTCAAAATCAGTCCAGTCGTTTCACAGATTAGCCGAAACAAAACGGACAGACAAAAATTGAAAAAATTGTGTGTTTTCTTATAAGTACCAAGTGTAATTTCATATGCATTTAGTAAAAGGCTGTTATTTTAACTTTACAAAAAGGCACTTCAATTTTATTTATCTGTACAGATTTTCTGCATTTCAAGTTATAAGCAGTTTTGTAATTGCAATAAATTATTAACTCTTTAGTTAGTATCATAGGTAATAAGTAAGATAGGAGCAAAAACTATAAAACTTGCAAGAATTATCTATAATTTAAATACATACTTAGTACTAATAAAAAGTTATACTTACTCTTTATATGCATCAAATAACAAATTATATATCCCAAGACGTGTAGTTGTGTATGTTGCTTGTCTTAGTAGTCCTGCAGATAGCCCAGTATATAAAGAAACAAAGCCTTCTCTAGCAACTATTTCACCAGCCACAGCAAATGAGGTTCTACCACCCCCGCTTAACTGCATGCGGGTTTTAATTAAATCTAATGGTTGTACTACACATGTTGCTGCCATACTAAAAAAAATTAAAAAAATGAACTTCTAAAGCCATTTAATAAATATTTTGCATGAACAAAGTTTTCAATGTTATATTTTTCAACAAGAAGAAAGTAATGTTTACTGTTTTCAAAACCAGTGACAAAAACATTAAGATAATTTATAACTCTGTTATGGATGGACTTATGGACTTTGAACTCCTTTAATCAATCATGGGAATCCTAGTAAAATAAAATTTATTTTATTATCTAAATTTTAATTATCATATCATTATATTGCAGCAAGTAGGTCAAGGTCAAAAACAATAGTAAGTTACTAAATACTGCTAATATATTTAACATTATAGTATGAAACAGCTGTCGATGTTTTTAATTTTATAATAATTATATATCACCAATTTTTTAAAACTTATAAACATTTATTTCTTACTACAGTAACGACTGTGACATTGCTTTTAAAAAGGACAAGGTTACATAAAAAAAATATACCCGGCAAGACCCCCAAAAGCAAATTTGAGTCCATTGGGGATATATCGCTCTTTCGGCGGCTCTACAGCGGCCTGTTGGGTCATCTTAATTTAATGAAGGCAACTTATGTATATTGTATTATAAAATCTTCAAATTTACACTGCTTTAGACACGACTATTCATAAGAGACTAACGTTTATAACTATATGAGACTAACTTTTATATATGTAGCAATATACTCTATGGACTAACTAGACGTATGTAAAAAATAAAAGTGGAATACAAGATCACAGAGTACATTGGTATATACTAGGATACAAGATTGGATAAGGATTTGAAGCATGGATGACAAATAAAAATTTGAAGTAACTAAACATTTGTCTTTGACAGTTGACACTGACATTTGACGTAATCTGATCTCTTTTTTTTTTAACATATCTATTCTACAATTCATTTTCTTCGCTATTTTTATTGTATTAAAAATGTTATATATATATATATATATATATATATATATATATATATATATATATATATATATTTATGGTACCTACTGTTCCATATTAATAGAGAATTTATATCAACTAATGACACACTAGCGTTCCTATCTAGATGCTATTCATATTTATATTATGAAAGCTCTCAGAAGTGATAATGGAATGTTTTAATTTATAGTTATTACCTCCACCTCCATGTAAATTTCTAAGAAATTAATTAAATTTCTAAGTAATCTATTGTTAACTGTAACGCCGGCGTCTCCGCGGTCGTGGAGGGATTAATATACTATACAAAATCTTTAGAGCCTCAGCCTTATCATTCTAAATGCGAAATTGTTATTTTTAGTGTTGGGAAGTGGTTGGGAAGTTTTTTATATCCTCTTGCTGGTTTTAGGGAGGATTCCTACTCCCGTAGAGGGAAGGAACGAGACCGCCCCTATGTGCCACTCAACGTAGTCGCAATTGACGGAACCCTGATCAGTGATTACTGAACTGAATACTGATTACAATGACTTCTTTTTTCTGTAACATCACCTTAACGGCAAGGACGATTTTAATGATATTTTTTGTATATGATCGCTTCAAGGTTTGAATTCACAAAAGGATCCGGTAAGTGGCGCTGTAATCGGTGTCACTAAATTTTAATAAGACTCCATTTTCCGAACAATAAATTTTATTAAATTGTTGATTAAATAGAATGAAAACCGATGTGTATATGTATATTTCCTATAGAGTCCGAAACAGCTGGAGCGATTTTGAGTAAATTTTCAGGTAATCTACAGATTAGCCCAGCCATAACCCAGGGTGATCCTATGAATTTTGTTAGCGATGGGAAGTTTAGACGCGGGCGAAGCCGCGGGTACTGCTAGTTCTATAAAAAACATGAATAAATTACTTAAAAAAAACTTTTTTCGGGTATTCTGCTCATGGTTGGCGCCAGCGGGATAAACCGGGTATTTTGAGGTTTATTGATCAGGTAAATCAACGACTGTTATCTGCAGGCAGCCCTGATAAAATAATAACTTTAGATTGTCACAAAATCAAAATTTTCGTTGTTCTTCACCAAACAAAGCTGAAATCAGGTCATGGGTTCAAGTTCAGAGTTGAGTCTGGTTAATTATTGGTCACTAGAATGCGAGTATCTGCTCAGTTAGGAAATTGGTGGCGTTCCACTTCCGTGCCGAGCCAGAGCTCCCAATAGTAGGGGAGCCCAAGAGGGGATTTTTGTAGTTACTCAAGCGCGGCAGATTAACATAAAAGAGGTTACCTTGCACTCTATTGAGTACTTTCGCTATAATATAAGTCTTCTATATAAAGGGGCGCGTCTAGGAAAGCCGATTAAAATATTTAAAAAATGTTTTGATAAGGTAGAAATACTTGAAACCGTCAGATTAAGGTGTGGTAGGCTAGTCACATCCTGAAAAGTGTCCAATTCAATAATCTGCCGATTTGCCCAAGCCGAAGAGGCAAAAATCGACTATAAAGTTTATGACATTTTTTAAATATTTTAATCGGCTTCCCTAGACGCGCCCCTTTATATAGAAGACTTATATTATGGTAAAAGTACTCAATAGAGTGCAAGGTAACCTCTTTTATGTTAATCTGCCGCGCTTGAGTAACTACAAAAATCCCCCTCTTGGGCTCCCCTACTACAAGTCAGACTAGTAAGAGATACTTACTACGTATCTCAGTGAGCACTGAGTGTCGTTTCAATGGATTCACCAATTTAGTGAATGTAATAGAATGAACTTATATTTAGACACATACTTGCGCTTTATAACATCTCCGGTGTACATCTCAGTTGAAAAACACCAATAGAATCCCACCAAAAGCCACATAGAAAGCAATAAATATGTATTGGTTTCTATGTGGCTTTTGTCGCTTTTGATGGGATCCTATTGGAGTTATTAAATAGGGATAGCTACCAGCGAGATTAGTTGCCATGACCAAAGTGAGGACATTATTAGAAGAGGAATAAGGAAGCCAAATAAAACACTTTTATACAAAATAATATATAATTCACTATAATAATTAATAAGAGCAAAATAATATGATTAAGTCTATGAGAATAATAAAGTATTAGATTATACATTGTACCAGGTGTGGTATCAAGATTTTCTGCTCCGAAAGTGAAACTTGGATTTAGGATAGGGAAAGTGTTAAAACTAGACAACATTTTAGTATTGGATTGAAAATATTATAAAGTTATTTTACTTAAGTGAAAAGAAAAATTGGGATTATTTATTTATAAATATTACAAAAATCTCTTGCTCTTGCATATAGGATATGGATGTTAATATGAATAGAAAGGAAATAGTGGTTCAGATTTTAAGGAGAGAAATTTTAAGAGTTACTCTTACATATTTGTGTCCATTTTAGTATTACCATTCAGATAAACTTGGTAAAAAAATAAACATTTCTGAAATCGTTTATAAACTTCTATGTACTCTTGAGATTGCGGTACATCTTTTAAATGGTCCAGAGCTTCTAGTATTTTTTCATAAACTGCAGAATTATTAATAGATAGAAGATTTTTGTCTATTCCTTTAAAATTCAAGCTATTGTATAATTTCCTTTGAGATTTGGATAACTTTTGAAGGCAAGTTTCACCTCTACATATATTACATGTACAAACCTTTCCATGGTATAAAAAAGTGGTGACATTTCGTGAATGCTTCTCATATTCTTGTTCAAGCCAATGGTGCCTGAAAAATTTAAATAATTGTTATAAATTAAAAAAAAATGTATAAAAGATAACTGCATTAATTTTATATTCTCATTTTTTAATATTACTTTCAAAACATATAATTATTCTAAAAAGTTAACTAATTTAATTTTGTAGCAACTACATAGATCATGGACTGACCAATACTGTTAAGAAATTGACAAAGAGGGAAAGCGAATGTGCGGCCAATACCCCTCATTTATATTTGAATTTATAAATGGAATGTAAAAAAATATATATTATTAAAAATTATTATATTATAATGGAATGTCACATGGTTATAAATATCTATCTTCATTAATTGTATTTAAATTAATACAGAAGACTTCTGGCCGTATATTCATTTGTCTGTCGTGTTGCTGCAATTTTTAGCTGAAGGCTAGCAGTGTTTGTTACACTCAGTCCACTTATGTCCAGTTCCTACCACAAAACATATCTATATATATAATAAAACTATAACTGAGTAGAATCTGTACATTAAATATTTTTTAATCACAAATTTTGACGATACATCAGACTGGCTCAAAAAATGGCGAATTAGAGCCAGTTCTCAGAAATCCAGTCATATTACATTTACACTGAGAAAAGAAAACTGTCACCGGGTATACTTAATGAATAACATCTTGCCTCAAAGTGCATAAAATATCTTGGCTTTCACTTAGATAGACGCTTAATATGGAAAATTCACATAAAAGCAAAAAGAGATCAAATCAACCATAAATTCAGAAGTCTATACTGGATGATAGGCAGAAACTCAGAGCTCTCCTTGGACAACAAAGTACTAATTTACAACTCCATTCTGAAACCCATTTGGACCTATGATATTCAGCTGTGGGGAAAAGCCAGCAAGAGTAATGTTACGTGCTTGCAGAGAGCACCAAACAACATACTGAGGAGTATCGCAAATGCTCCCTGGTTCACAAGGAACGATGAGATACATGAGTATCTGAATATTGCAACAGTAGCCTCAGAAATAGAACGCTATAAAAAACTGTACAGCGAACGTCTTGCCCATCACCTCAATACACTTGGTTCTGGATTGCTCGACAACACCAACGTGGTTAAGAGGCTGAAAAGAAATCACATACTTTGAGTAGACAGCGAGGCACTGGCCTTGCTGCTCTATCAGTCATTATTTACTGCTCAACCTACCTGCTTATAGTTTGGCAACTGATTGCAGGGGACGACCACAAAAAAAACTTAAATTTTTAAAAATGATCACTAAATGCATCTTTTTTGGGACAAAAAACCATTTAAATTGTCATCCTTTCAAATTGTCTATCCCCTTGTGTCATTTGAAAATCAGTTCAGGGTTATCAAAGACTAAGCCTAACAAAAATATGTGTGGATAACTAAGTATATGATAGAAACTTATTTTGAATATTTTTACATACATTTTCAAGGTTTACATAATATATTTAATAATTTTAACCGTAGTAGTAGTACAGACACAATTATATTTAATAATAACTTACTGATAGGAAATCGTCAATTCTTCTCCAGTTTTGATTGATTGCAAAGTGATCAATGACATTTTATTATTCCTATACACAGCGGCAACATTTGGAGTACATGAATTCTTTAGTTTTCCAATAAATGAAAATAATGCAACATTTGGTTTTCCATGGTAATGAGATCGTTCAGTGTTTAAAATCATGGCAGCTTGGACAACCTGCCATGGTACAATATATAATGAGAGAAACATCATAATTCTTCCAAGGGCACACATTGCTTGCTTTTTCGCATCAATGTCTTTTGGGAAAAATAATGGAATCTCATCTAAATAATGAATGAAGGAGGCACATACAAAACAAGCATCATATTTAACCCCATAAATGAATGGTTTGTCATCCACCTGATTCAAAACTGAAAATATACTATCAACATCAAATACTTCCTTTATAGAACTTGATTTTATTCTCTCAATCCCCATATTATAAGATGCATCAATCAGCTCTCTCCAAGATTTACATTTTGCTCTCATTTTAAGTGTTGCTTTTATCATTAAATTTGGCATAGGGCCGAAGGAGATATCTCTTATCAAGTTCATTATAGCACATTCATATTTATGGTACTCGTCAAAACATTTACTTTTACATTCCTCATCACAAAACAGAGCAAAGCTGCACCCTTCACATGGGATTAAATTTAATGTCATTTTTTGACAAAAGTGACATGAGTATAAAGTATTATAAGGATCAGTGTAACTTACATATGCTCGTTCACAACATATTACAGTACCAATTTTTATGTCATTTGAGGCCACTATTTTAGGTATAACAGAACCCACTGCCTTTATATCAGAGGTAGCACATGGTATTTCAGAGTTACTAGGTGTGCATTCAGAATGTTTTCTAGCAAATGCTGTAAATATAACATCAAGCGTATTTTCTTTAGCCAAAACACTAGCATCTCTTTTTCTTTTGGTTAGTTTACCAATTATTTCAGAAGGGCAGCCCATTGAGAAACATGTGTCAATATCTTTAAGACATGCTTTATATGCTTTTAATTTTAGAAATAAAGCAGATCTATTGCTAATAGCCAATATCATTTCTCTTGAATTTTTAGGAGCAAGCAGAAGAGCTTGATTGTAGCATATCAAAGCTATTTGATATTTGCCTCTTTCCAAAGCAATATTTCCTTTTTTGCGGTGTTCAGTTGAGATCAACTCATTTTTAATATCTGGGAGTCTGGTTGGTAGCTGATGAGTTTTTCTGAGCACATCTAAAGCGGCTATGACAATCTCTGATAAGTCTTCATTACCAAGAGCTTCATAGATCTTGTCAGTGTGATTACTACGAGATAAAAAATCATGAAAACTCGCCGGTCTCGAAAACATTATTCTAGAAAAAAGTGATCCATTATTTACTTATTATTTATTATAGTACATATAATAATAATTAACTGTTTATTTCAGTAAAAATAAAGTTTAGAAAGATAAAAGCTTACGTTTTTTTGTTTTATATTTTTGTATATACCTAAATAGATTCAAGTCAAATTTTAAATAGTTAAACTCCGCAAAGATTGCGAGAAAGATATAGTCTCAATTTTTTCTCATGATTCTGATATACTTAATTTAAAAGCGATCGGTCTAAAGCACAATTAATATGAATTAGGATAATACCCTTCACTAGGTACAAGAGTAATTTGACTACCAGAAAATATTATTAACTTTTTTAAAACATTTAGTTTTTTAATAATATCTACCAATTTACCAACAATTTTTAGTATTTTCGTCAATTTGATGTGTGCACTTAATAGATTTCCGAATATACCTTAATCATTCAAATGCTACAAAGTACAATTCTTTTCGTGATTTTTTAAATGCAAAATTAGACAGTGCACAATATCGATAAAAGAACAATCTGTTTAATTATTAATTAATAGTAAATACCTTTACCTATTAAACCAAAACGGTAGTCACAAATCACAACCGGTTACAACAAACTTAATCAGTAAAATGTAAATGCTTCGGTTAACTCCCTACCATAGACAAATCATACTTCAATATTAAATTCAGCCATAAAGAAATATTACAGTAACATCTCCATATAGTTTATGATAAATAAGAAATTATATTAACCAAATATCAATTTTTAATTTGTTAAATATATAAATTTATGTTTAGATTTATTTGATTTAACTTATATTTAATTATAGTTTTTTTTAAATATTGTTACATACACTGTTTCATTCTCGACTATAGTATTTTTTTTCATTAAAAGCTTTATAAATAATCCTTAAAAAATAATTACTCTATTTTGGCCAATCATCGTTTGTTGGATAAAGTTAGCTGGAAAATAAATATTTAATAATATAAGATAATATATCACATGAGTATCAGTACATATTATTCTATTGTACCATAATATGCAATAAAACCTTTTTATATGTAATATACTATTATGATAAAACCCTAAGAATGGGGAAGAATTTTGCCTTTTTCTCCCGCCAGATATCGCGATCACTATGACCTAATATAGTTTAAATGATTTGTGTTATGGCCCTTAGTATATTGTAAAGCTTTATAACGTGGATGGTTTTTTTTTTCATTTTATTTAAAATTTTATTAAGGCTCCTACACACAGTGCCGCCAGTACTGCCGCCAGCCTTGCCCAGCTGAAGGAAGAATAGAGTAGGAGAGGTTCATCCTGTGGTGCTCCTGACTGACTGATGTATCAACACATAGCCTAAACAGCTGGTCGTAGAAACGTGAAATATGGAGGACTAATTCCTTATATGATGTAGGCACTCAATAAGAAAGGATTTTTTTTGAAAATCGTCCCGTAAGTGGGTAAGATAGAGAGATTCGTTCAATTTTTAGATATGGTTCATAGTCTATTATGTAGATTTTTGTGTAAATATATTAAAGTAATAAAATGAAATTGTAATTATATGTATAAATATGTGTGTATACTAACAAGTTTATCTCATTATTTTTGTATATATTGTGTTGTCTATTGTAGGTCCTGATTTTACAACGAATCACTCTGTTTCTACACGTAATCAGATTAGTGTTTTTTTTTCTCCTTTTTTACCGGTCATTTTATATAAAACGTGCATTCTCCATTCTACGCGACATTGGCGAAGTAAATTGTGCCCGAAGGCACTCTTAGAAGCCACAAACCTAAAGAATTGAATTGAATTAGATATGGTTCATTCTTTTCGTCATGAACTCTATTTGAAAATATAAAAACATTGTATGTTCATCTTGTAAGAAACCCTTAAAAATTTTAAAATTTGGAGAAATCGATTATTTTTACTTTGTAAAGTACCTTTTTTTCAATTATTATTGAAGAAGTGCACTTTATTGGCCAAATTTTTATAAACCCATTACACCAATGTATTTTTTTTGGGAAAAACGAAAAAGATGGTATACTTAAGTTTTTAATTTGACGCTTATTATTTTATACAACTAGCAGCTCACCGTCGCTTCGCTCAGGTTCGTCGTTAGGTACGTTTTAAATAGATATAAATAGTTGTTAGCCACATACAATTTTTTGTTAATTTTTCATTTTTGCTCTTTACCTTCCGTGGACCTTAAGGAACATACGAAAAAAAATTTGAGCCGAATTGGTCCAGCCATTTTTGAGTTATGCGCCTACCAACATTCATTTTAATTTATATATAAGATATAAGATAACATGTCGCCGTAAACATTCCAACTTAAAAACTGAAAAAATAATAAAAGTTGGAATTCACGTAACGTACAAAACTGGTGGTTTCTGTGGCATAGACTCTTTTTATGTTATAATTTTTTCGAATTTATCGATATTTTATTAGTTGGCGTTTGTTGGGTCGGTGTGTATCCACTATCCAGTAAAAGACGATAGTTTATTATTACGTCTCTCTCTAAGGCCCTGTCCGCACTGCGATATATCACCGCGCGATTTTTATTCTCGCGTATTATATTCCGTGATCGAAATTGTACTTATTACGCACTGCGAATAAAATTTCGTACGATTTTTGTCAGTTTGATGCAGTTCCCGACTGAGACAAACGTCTAAAATGATAAATTTACTATATCTACTGAGACATTTTAGTAATCTAAAATGATGTTTTTCTACATTTCGCGCAGTTGTAAGATTTTATGTAATTTTTTGTGTAACTTCCATAACCATAAGTTTTTCTTGTCAAACCTCAAGTGAAATAAATATATTTTAATAGACTTGTGTTGAGTACCTATTAAAGCAGTGAACATTATAAGCTTATTGGTTCAGCTTAATACGAATCATAGAGTATATTGCTACATATATAAAATACAAGTCCTCCATGCTTGTTATTATTGCTCGAAGTGCCAAATCAAAACGCATAATTAAAACTCCCTAAAAAGTAAAATTTTATTTGTCATCCATGAGTAAAATAGCAACACCTCTGTCAAAATTACATCAAAAGTCAAAACAAAACCATTAAATTTGTGCACAATTGAGGATAAATTTAGGCACGCATTAAAGCCATTAAAGCAAAGAACAATACTAACTGCGAGGATAAAATTATAAAACTTTGATATTTTTTATTTCCGAAAGTATTTATTTCCTCCACTTGAAACTTTCTGGGATTACTCAAGTTAAAAAGTACATTGCACAAAATAAAATCAAGAGTCTACAGGAGAATCCGTTTATAAAAGACGACCGCAAATTGTGTTAAATTAAAAGGTTTTGTTTCAATTATAAATATTATTGTGGAGTGTAGTTTAAACTTTAAATCATAGGTAAATAAGTTTAGATATCAGTTTATAGTTTTCGTATAGATGTCCAATAATTATACTAAAGTATACTCCCCAGTTCATGAAATCAAAATATTAGGTTCATTATAATAATAGGTAATTAGAAACAACTTATAATTAAATAGATCCAAACTACACTGAAATGTAATAAAAGTCGTCATTAGTATGGTTTTTCTTTATTCACTAGCCATAATTTAAACTAAAGGTTTAAAAAAAACGTTCTGTTACAGTTTTCCTACGTAATATAAACAAATAATAACAGCTACTTTAATAATCATGAGTAGAACTCCGTTAAAGAAGCAAAATATTAATGAAAAGAATATCATGGATATCGCTTATGAATGTGCGAGATTCATTGTCTTTCGAGAAGGCAGCAAAACATGTATAAGAAGAGACGATATTATTAAACACCTTGAAACAACTTGTCATATGGTTCGAAGTCACTTTAAGGAGGTTTTAGGACCAGCAGAAGAAATTTTAAAACAGGTGTAGTATAAATGTTGTAAACAATTAATACTTAAGTTTTTATTAATTACCACCTATCTGCCTATGTATTTTTTCTTAATTAATAATCCTGTAAATATTGTGTCAAAGAGTTGAAAAAGTCATTATAAGTAAATGTGCTAGTAGTATGAAATTTGAGAAGGGAAGATTTTTTTTACATATACAAATTTCATTAATTAACAATACACTGCCACAAATTTAGCTTTTTAAGTACATTAGATTGGCCTTGGTGTTGACAAATCACTCAGTCGGGATAGGTAATTTCATATAATATGTATTTATTATTTATTTTTTACTAGCAACTCAGTATAAAGTGCTATGTATGTTATAACAGTTAGTATGGAATAGATAGTTGAACCCTTGCCCTTTACCCTCTGTGAAAAACAGAAACAAATCTATCCCATGGTAATGGTACATGTTTCCAAGATAAAAAGTAACCTATGTGCTATTCCAGACAAAATAATATAATCTATCTCTATGCCAAATTTCATCCAGATCCATTTAGCCGTTCTGGTGTGATTGAGTAACAAACAAACATCCATCCAAACTTTCACATTTATAATATTAATAATGGGATATTATAAATGAAACAAACAGTACAATATTACATAAATAAAATAAGTAATAATAACATAATGAAAAAAAAAATGCATAAACTAATCAAGTTTCCACTTATAACTCACACATAAAAAGCAGAAGACAAAAACAGAAAGACAATGAACAACAAAAACAAAACAAAATTAAACAATTACAATTGTAAATTGTTAGTAACAAACAATTTGTATAATTGTTGTCACAAATTGTATACAATTTTAATTGCAGGTGTATGGCTACAAACTAGTTGATACAGGCAAAAATTCATACATAGTAGTGCTGAATACTCCCTGCGAACATCACGAAGGTATATATGATCCAGAATTGAGAATTATTTTGATCGCAGCATTAACTCACATATATATGTCTGGCGGAACTGTGACAGAAGGTAAAGTATTATATATATATATATATATATTTTAATTATGATTTTCTAAAACGTTTTTTTTTAGCTTCACCTGTATCTTTATACTTGTGTATGTAACGGAATCTTTGAATGTGATTATCACCTACTTAAAAACTTCAGATTGAACTGAAACTTTGTACATTTAACAAAGACCAATGGCAATACAATAATTTATTACCTCATAAAAAAGACCATATATTTTTTTATGATCACACAAAATATGTACTTATGTACATATGTATAATATGTGTTGTAAATATCATGTAGATTCTATATATGATTTTATAATGGATAAGTACTCAATTCCCAAAAAGGGTTGATCAGGCAGGCGGCTAGTCGTAAATCTTTTGCCAAAACCGATTAGCAGTATGGAAGATGTACTGTGCCGACCCTGAGAAATGAAATTAAATTGCAATGAAAATTAATGAAAAGATTGAAAAAAATAATATGAAATTTTGAGAAATGAATTTTTTATTTCATCAAAATATCTTTTAACAGATTAACTGTCCGCAAAATAGACATAATAGTTAAACAATCGAAATGTTCATATATGAGTCATGGGACAGGGAAACGGTTAAAATACAAGACAAAACAAAATTTTGACACAAGTACATATTTGTTCAGTCATAGTCTTATTATATATATTATATAGCTATTAGCTAATTATGAAATGTAAGAATTTAAAAACTTACAAGGGAAAATCTATGAAAATATCCCATTTTTTAATATTATTACATTAATTAAAATAAAAAAATATGAGGCAAATAAATAATTCATTTAATTTATAACTTTTTGTTGAATTGCATTCAATTACATAATATTAAGGTTGAGCAAAAAAATGTTTTTGTTTTTTTTTCTTGGCTTGGGGGTAGAAAAGCTTTAAAAAGCCAAAAATTTAAATTAAATGATGTAAAAATCAGTGGGCCTACTCAAGTGGGTACTAAAATAAAAAGCTCGGCGCCCTCTTAAGAGCGGCGGCTGTAAGTATTATATGGTTTGACTCGATGCATTTTTTACCCTTAAATTGGTTACACTGAGTAGCAAATTTAAGGGTAAAAAAATGTACCAGGTTTTTCTTAGGGGGAAAAATGTTTAGGAGCTTCTTCGTTTAGGGATTTCTTTCTTTAATAGCATGAATTAAATATAAATAACGTTTTATAACGTTTCGTTTAAAGACTTGAAAAAATCATATATCTTTAAATATCATTTGCATCATTTATCCTTTTTTTATTATTTTCTGAGTTATCTATGAAATTTATTATTAAATAAAATAAATATATTTTATCGGAAATTTTTCAATTGAACTCTATCAACTTGATATTTTATAATATAAACTAGCATTGCCCGCGGCTCCGCCCGCGTTCAGATGACCAAAAACTAAATTCTTAGGTGTTACATATTAGTATACTCTTACATTGCAGTTTTTGTATTTTTCCTCAGAAATAAGATATTTTCCCGCGGTAAAAAGTATCCTAGGATCGCGCGCTACATCGCCCGGTTTATATAGCTTGAGCAGGCGGTCGAGCGATGCGGGGCAGAGGGGATGGACTCGCCGTAGGCATCTCAATGCTCGCCAAGCATTAAAAATGTTTCGCTACTAATTACTTCTAACAACGATATCTCAAAAACTATTCATCTGATTGATTTAGTGTAAAGAGCAATTTTAATCTGCATTAAATGACTAAGCTAACTAAAATATTCATTTGGATAAGGATTAATACCGAACTAAAGAAAATAACTTTGAAAATAACGTAATGTTTTTAATTAAAAATGTTAACATAAAAGTGGTTATTGTAAGTCAACCGTAAGAGATAGAGATATGCTATCGCGGACTTTTTTGTAGCATTTTTATGGATTTTGAATTCTCTAGTACATTACTTAACTGTATCTTTGCTAGTTTACGCGGCGTTCGCGTGGAAAGTTCCCATTTGGCGAGATTTTTTGCGACCTCTTCAACATTTGTCGCCGTATTTCAGCTAATTTACATAAAAGCATAATAAATTATATACCTAAACCTTCCTCAAGAATTACTCTTTCTATTGTTGAAAACCGTATAAAAATCCGTTCAGTAGTTTTCGAGTTTATCGCGTACAGACAGACAGGAGGACAGACAGGAGGACAGAAAGACGCGGCCGGGGGACTTATTTTTATAATAAGTATAGATTATCTATACTTATTATAAAAATAAGTCCCCCGGCCGCGTCTTTCTGTCCTCCTGTCTGTCTGTACGCGATAAACTCGAAAACTACTGAACGGATTTTTATACGGTTTTCAACAATAGAAAGAGTAATTCTTGAGGAAGGTTTAGGTATATAATTTATTATGCTTTTATGTAAATTAGCTGAAATACGGCGACAAATGTTGAAGAGGTCGCAAAAAATCTCGCCAAATGGGAACTTTCCACGCGAACGCCGCGTAAACTAGCAAAGATACAGTTAAGTAATGTACTAGAGAATTCAAAATCTATAAAAATGCTACAAAAAAGTCCGCGATAGCATATCTCTATCTCTTACGGTTGACTTACAATAACCACTTTTATGTTAACATTTTTAATTAAAAACATTACGTTATTTTCAAAGTTATTTTCTTTAGTTCGGTATTAATCCTTATCCAAATGAATATTTTAGTTAGCTTAGTCATTTAATGCAGATTAAAATTGCTCTTTACACTAAATCAATCAGATGAATAGTTTTTGAGATATCGTTGTTAGAAGTAATTAGTAGCGAAACATTTTTAATGCTTGGCGAGCATTGAGATGCCTACGGCGAGTCCATCCCCTCTGCCCCGCATCGCTCGACCGCCTGCTCAAGCTATATAAACCGGGCGATGTAGCGCGCGATCCTAGGATACTTTTTACCGCGGGAAAATATCTTATTTCTGAGGAAAAATACAAAAACTGCAATGTAAGAGTATACTAATATGTAACACCTAAGAATTTAGTTTTTGGTCATCTGAATGCTAGTAATTACTATATAGCAAACGTCTACCAAAAAGCGAAAGGAACTTCGTTTCGGCCAGGGCTCCATAGACCCCTCAGGCCTAAATTTTTTATAATAATTATTATAATAATGTATACTTATTATTAATAATTTTATGAAAATTATTATATTTATATTTCAATTTGTTTTAATTTAATTGCGGTATCCACTGCGCCAAAGAAGTTTCACATCAACCGCGCGTATAGGTCACACGGAATCATATTTTTAATATTATTTTGTATATTTTTTATATAGAGAACATGTGGAGGTTTTTAAAAGAAGCTGATTTAGTAGGCGAACTAGAAGTAGATAAGAAAAATATTTTAAGGAAGACTTTTACAGAGCAATTATATTTGGAATATAAGGTATTTACTATACATATGACATTAATTATATTAATACGTTTGTGTATGTAACTAGAGCGTTAGAATTTAGAGATATATGTAGATTTGTTTGTTAGCTGTCTATAATATAATACACAATGCTATAATAATACACATAGTACATATTCTTTATTTCCTTAAACCCTGTAGGTGGTAAATAATTTGTTTGGAACAAGATATTCATATTTTATGAACCACTTCTCACTCTTTATCTATTAAAATGACCCCACACCATATATTACAATGCCTTATGCCAAATTGTATTAATTGGATACTCAAATTGAACAAAAATTTCTGCAGTATAATATACCTACAGTAAGTATTTTTATCCCAGTGATGCGTTCTTTAATTCTAAACTTGTCAATAGATGGCGCTGCCTGAAAACGTTAAATTAAAAAAAATATATGAGTGAAATCGATTTCTTTATGTATACTCATATTTAGTATATAACATAAGAAACCTGGTCATAAACATATTAATTGCTTATTTTGTACATCTACAGAGACTTGAAGGAGAAGACGCTGAATGTATTTTTAAATGGGGCTTACGAGCTGAAAATGAAGTACCAAAAATGACACTACTTAAATTGATGTCTAAGGTGAGTATAAAATCATAATGACATTAATAATAATGTCCTCCCGACCGATTCCGGCCACGGCGGCCAATCTCATTGAGACTAGCCAACTGCGCAGGAGATATTATAGTGCAGCGCTGCCAATTGGCGGGTAAATCCCCCGAAAATCGGGCAATTTTAGGTGATTTTTAATGGCGGTAATTTTGACGGGTATTTTAGTAGAAAGCAGGTATTTTAGTTTAGCTGATTAATTTGATATTTTAAGATTTTTATGTATGATTTAATAATTTAAAACTGTTTAATTGAAAATTGATTGCAATGACATCTTTTTCTAATCTAATTAAAAAAAATCTTAACAACTAGCGACACACTCTCACTCCGCTCAGGTTGATCCCTAGTACTAATAAGCATGAAGTACTATTAAGCAACAGACTCTTAATCAACTTTCAGCTTTATCCCCTCCTAATATTCCACAATTGTTCTTTAGTCATTTTACTGAAAGTGATGTTAAGAGAAACATTCTTACTATAAAATCAGATGCAGTTGGTGCTGATAGTATTAGTCGGAAAATGATCTTACCTATCCTCGATGTTTTATGTCCTGTTATAACGTTTATATTTAATCACTCTATTATCTCCTGTGAATTTCCTTCCTCCTGAAGAGATGCTCAAATTGTACCATTACCTAAAAAATCAAATCCTGTTCTTTATAATGACTATCGTCCTATCTCAATCCTTCCTTTTTTATCCAAAGTACTTGAGCGTCTTGTACTCCATCAACTCAATCAATTTCTTTCTACTCATAATCTCCTCAATCCTCTACAATCCGCTTTCCGTCCTGGGCATAGTAGGACTACTGCTTTAGTCAAGATCTCTGATGATATTCGCAAAGGCATGGATAAACAGGAAGTCACAGTACTTACCTTACTGGATTTTAGCAATGCCTTTAATACTGTTGATTTTGACATCTTACTTGCTACGTTACGTTCTCTTAACATATCTCCTAAAGTAGTCGACTGGTTTCTTTCTTACCTGCGTGGACGCCGACAGCGTATACGGATTCATGATTCGTATTCCGACTGGTCAACAGTCAAGTCAGGTGTTCCGCAGGGTGGCGTGTTGTCTCCTCTTCTTTTTTCAGTATTTATTAATACATTATGTCATCACATTTCTTCTCACTACCACCTGTATGCAGATGATCTACAGATTTATATTCACGCGAAAATTACTGAATTACCGAGAGCTATTGAGAAAATGAACGAAGATTTAAGGAGTATAGCCTCATGGAGTAGATCTTTTGGACTCCATCTTAATCCGGCAAAAACTCAAAGTATAATTATTGGTAGCTCGAAACTCATTGCTAGGGTCGCGTCGTTAATCATTACCATCTATTCTATTAAATGGCATAATTATACCTTATAGTGACACTGTCAAGAACCTAGGCGTGATTATGGACCAGAATATGTCCTGGGCTCCGCAGTTAGGTGAGACGAGCAGGAAAATGTTTGCATCCGTAGCATCACTTCGTCGGTTACGCAACTTTCTCCCCATTCCTACTAAAATTGCGCTAGCACAATCTCTCCTACTACCTATCCTTGATTATGCTGACTCTTGTTATCTTGATCTAAGAGAGGAGCAATTAAATAAGCTTGAGCGGCTTCAAAATTTATGTATACGGTTCATATTTGGGTTGCGAAAATATGACCACATTTCTGAATTTCGCAGAAAGCTCAAGTGGCTCCCTATTCGCCTTCGCAGGAATACGCATGTCCTTCATCTTCTTTACCGTGTTCTGTTTGATCCATCTTCTCCTCCCTATTTAAAAGATAAATTTAAATTTCTGGGTCTTTCTCATTCGAGAAACTTGCGCTCCTGTCAAAATTTAATTTTAAAAATACCTCCTCATTCCACTTCATTTAGTGATAAATCATTCTGTGTAACAGCCTCACGACTTTGAAATTCTCTCCCTTTGAGCGTAAGAGGCGCCAAAACGTATAATACTTTTAAAAACCGTTTAAAACTGCATTTTCACTCTTTTTAAACCATATTCTTTTTACCATCTTTGTTTGTCTTTTTTTAATGCCATTTTACTTATAAGTTCTATTATTATCTATTTAATATGATATAATATTATTTATATATTTATGTACCCATAATATATTAAATATTATTACTATTATAAGTATTTTGTCTTGTATTAATCTTATCATATTTATGTAAATATAATATTATTATTATGTACATATGTATGTATCTTTGATATGTAAGTTTATTCATAGTATTAAAAATGAATTATTGTTATTATTGTATTATTATTATTATGGTTTTATTATTATTATTATTACTACTATATAGTTCACACCCCTTCCCTCTTACAGTTTGTCAATTCCAACACCTTAAGGTTGCCTGGAAGAGATCGCTGTTTTAGCGATAAGGCCGCCTCTTGTACATAACTCTTTTTATATATTTCTTGTATTTTTTTTTCTTTTTTCTCTAGTGGGTGTACAATAAAGAGTATTTATTATTATTATTATCCCTAGTTACGTTTTAACGTTTAGTATCGATTTCGGTGATATACTTTCCCTCAGTAAAAAGTATCCTATATGTTAACTCGGATATCCAGCTATCATAATACTAAATTTCATAAAAATCTGTCCAGTGGTTTTCTCGTGAAACGTAACCAGACAAACGGTCAAAAAACCTAAAAACTATAGATTCGGCCTCTGTATCGCTAATAATGATTATTTCAATAAGATTTTCCAAAAAATATTTAATGTACAGATATCACTCTGAATTTTATTATATGTATAGGTTATATGTGATTTTTGTTTCAGGAGTTTGACAAGGAAATTACCTTTTGGCCAGATCAGTGCAGGATAGCTGAAGAAGAAGAACAAAAACAAAAACTACAATAATTATCATTGCTATTTTTTAATAATTCAACAAAAAAATATATATAAAATCGTTATTTTTACTAAAACTGATACCAAAAATATGAAAATCGGATTGTTTTATTCAGTACCTACCTATTAGCTGATTCGACGGATTTCGCTCTCAATATAGTAAATAAATAAATATGTTGGGACATTAACACACAGCACCACTCACTAGTGAAATTATAATTTAACGGTCTTACAACTTACCTGCGACATATACATATATATATATATATATACAGTATTTAAAGAATTGCTGTATAGTTGTTTTAACAACTCACTATTACTTATTTATTAATAGTATTATTTTTTATTTTCTAATGTTCTTCGTTTTGTTTTTTATCTGAATGCCCACAAAAAATAGTTATTATAAGTTAAATGCAAAAACTAATGATTTTTCATCAGGATTTCCTTATAAATATTTAACTTGAAATTCAATCATATTAATATCATATATGTATCTTTGCCAATATTTCTGAAAGACTTAGGTTCGATAAGAGAAAGCTAAAAACCTATATACAATAGAACTAAGCTATAGGTAGTTACTTTTACGAAGACATTTAACTTGCAATAAAATGAATGATATTGAAAAAAATGATATTAAAAAAAATCAAAATCATATTTGAAGATTACCATATCATTTTAAAATATTTGGATTATGTTTCAGTTTACTTTATCTGTTAAAATATTAGGTCTTTGGTAAATAAATATGTTGTTAACGTCATTTAACAGATTATAACGTGGGACTGTTGATTATATTGTAAGTAATAATTATTATATTACTTTAAATCATCTTTATTCATAACATAATTTCAAGGATAGAGACACAAAAAACCCGTCGACTAGAATAATTAAATATTAAATAATAATAGTTTTAAGTAAATAATAATAGTTTTAAGACCTAAAATAGACGTTTTTGTATGTATGGCGCACGTAACAACGAATCAAATGACGGCGATCTTTGAGACTACGATTATTTTACAGCTTTTTATTTATATTTATAGCTTTTGGTTTAACATATAAGTTGTAGATATTTTGCAAATGCCTCTTAAAAACTTATATTTCGATACCCTACTCGATGGATTCGAACGAAAAACATTTTTTCGGGAGACAATTTGGCGCCTTGGGTCCGCTATTTTGATTTTTATTGATATTTCTATACCTACCCTATGACACTTACGTTATCAAGACGAATCTAACGACGCGACGTTCGACGAACTCTTTCTAAACGGCTGCACTGATTTTTATGAAATATTTAGTGTTTGAGCGGGATCCTAGATGGTTTAGATCAGCCATACTCAACCTTTTTTTATAGGAGCCACAAACACGTTTCAGTCATGGTATCAAAAATTATTTAGGTCTTAATGAAAACTTAATTCCAAGTTAACGATGTAGTTACTTTTTTAACAAAGATATGTTATAATGCGATTTTCGATGCTGCCGCATGCGGCCCGCAGGTCGCAGGTTGAGTATAGCGGGTTTAGATTCACAACTGGACCCTGTGTCGCTCGATGGCGCTGCAGTCGATCTTTAGAATTTTTGAGAAGACCATATTCGGGCAGGACAACTGTCGGGTCCGCTAGTATGTACATTGTACATATATGTATATAAGTAAATATGCTTGCTTGTATTATGAACTAACTATAAGATAACTTTGATTTTTAAAGTGATTATAATAATTGATGTTCATAGTCGTTTATTATTTACTAGCGACTCACCCTCGGTACATTTTAATTTTTTTGAGCGGAAACCTAATTCTTTTACTGAAATAAAAGTAGCCTAAGAAGTTACTTCTTATAACATCAACTACCTGCCAGTGAAAGTTTCGCCAAAATCGGCCCAGCCGTTTCGGAGATTAGTCGGAACAAACAGACAGACTGACAAAAATTTTAATTCCATATGCATTTAGTAAAAAGCTGTTATTTTGATATTACAAACAGACACTTCAATTTTATTTATTTGTATAGATTACAGTAATATGTCGAAGCCGGTGTTCCATTATTTTAATACTAAGGCGATGGGGGAGCCAGCGCGGCTGTTCTCATATGGAGGCGAGGATTTTGTCGATAATCGATTTACAGTTACGGAATGGTCCGCATTCAAGTCTTGTAAGAACTATTTTCTTAATAAATAATAATAAATAAATGTTGGGACATTAACACACAGCGCCATCTAGTTCCATGGTAAGCTACGAGGCTTGTGTTATGGATATCGGATAGTTGATACACTACACATATATAACTTTAAATGCATACATATTATTAATATAAAATAATTGCTTAATATTTGACGTATAATAAAATTCTAACTGAGCCGAATCGGTACATTAAATATTTTTTGGAAAATCTTATTGAAATAGACATTATTATCGATACAGAGGCCGAATCTATAGTTTTTAGAATTTTTGTATGTCTGTTACCGTATCACGGAAAAACCACTAGCCGTACAGTAATACCAAATTTCATAAAAAAAAAAACGTATTTTGATGAAATTTGGTATGATGATAGCTGGTTATCCGGGTCAACATATAGGATACTTTTTATTGCGAGAAAATATCTCATTTCTGAGAAATCTATAGGTACATACTAAACTTTAAAATGTAGGTAAGTATGGACGAACCCGAGCGGAGCGAGGGTGAGTCGCTAGTTATAAATAATTATTTAAATTATTAAAATGTTTAAAATTGAAATTAACTAATGTTTTAAGGTGCCATTTTTTGGTAATTCAAATTTTTGTATTTTTTTGTGGATAGATGGGTACCGTCTCTAAAAACTATATATAATTCCTTTGAGACGTAAAACCTTGGTCTTTCCCGTGACCATGATTGCTGTAAAGCATTCAAAATGTGGATAACCAAAAAAACTAAGTATAGCGACTTGCAAGTACTTTTTATTATGCCGCATAATTGTCTGTTTGGTTAAGTGTTGTTGGTTAAGAACCAAGTTACGAAGTATTTTCTACAGAATATAGACCCCAAAACAATAGTAATTAAAATTTTAAGCTATTGCATAGCTTCTATCGCGGGCCTTGAGCGTGGGGACCGAATCCAGAAATTCCGTAACGAAAAAACCTAACACCCCCCACTCCGACCGGCACAGCGGTGATACTTTTTAGTTTTTCCATCTATCGATAAATACCAGAACTTTTAATGACTTTTTGAAATATCACGCTTGTCTCTTTAGTTCAGCAACCCGCCTTTAGGTGGCATTGGTTGTATTGGAAAACTACCGTAATCAGCTGTTTGTGAGAAAGTATATAGGTGTATAGGTATTTATCATCTATGTACAACAGTGAATATCTGTACTCGTATAATTTGTGTACAAAGTGTTTTAAATATGATATATAAATAAAGTCACGAAAAAATAGTGAAAGAAAATGAGTTAGTACTCTATATACATTCATTTTATTATTATTATCAAAAATGCAGTATTATTTTTTGTTTTGTTAATTTATACATAATACTGCTATAAAGATAACCAAAATTTTTGATATTAAAATAAGCTTGCATAAGTTGATAAAAAATGCTATGCAATAGCTTTACCGCGGCAGTCTCCGAGTGCCACATTTAATTTTTGTTTGTATGTCTGTTTGTGTGTGCGCGTTTTACGCAAAAAGTACTGCACCGATATTAACACAAATTTGTTGTGATAACTTATTACTGGGAACAACATATAGAATACCTTTTACTAAAGAGAAATCTTTCATTCCCTCCGGAAAACGCTAGAACTGATTTTATCGAGTCGTCCTTAAAGTTAACAAGGCTAACACTGGCTAAACCTTAAGAGATATATCAAAACAATGTACTAGAAAAATGTAGGTCTTAAAAAGGCCAGCATAAAAGTCTTTAATACCAAGGGCCTAGCATATGTCCTAAGGTACACTCGCAATAACTATTCATATCTATTTAAAACCTACCTTTAGGAAATAAATATATGTCTAGTATTCGGTTAAATATATATTTGTTACTACGTTGTTATCTAGTAGGTAACTGAAGCAATTGTATAAAATGCACATTTTAATAGAATAATTCGTGTGGTGATATCTCCCACAGCAGCCATTGTGTACGAGTAGCAAGGTCAGATAGATTGAAATCACTAATATCCAGTTCCTAGCTATATCTTTACATAGTATAAAATGAAGTCGCTTTCGGTGTCTGTTCGCTTAGATCTTTTGAAATACTAAACGGATTTTAATGCAGTTTTCAGCAATAGATAGAGTGAATCAAGAAGAAGGTCTATATGTATAATAAATGTATATTATAGTACAGAAAAGCCGAGAAATTCAAAGATTTGTATTTTATGCTAACCGTTAAAACGTACTTAGGGACGAACCCGAGCGAAGCGAGGTTGAGTCGCTAGTATTATTAAATAAATGTAAAATGTTTTGATCTGTATTTTAAAATAACTTCTGCTTGCATCGCAAGTTTAATCTTAACAAATGAAGTGTATGCTTCATTTTTAATTATTCAATCTTTCCTTATCTATTTTTCTTGTAAGTGTAAATAACTTAATAAAAAGTTTCATTGGGATAGACCTAGTCGTTCTCGAGTATACTTACAATCTTCATATAGGTAGTATAATCTTCATATACCTAGTATATTTGCACACTTCCAATTAAAAAAAATCAAATTATGTACAGGTCACCTTTTCACAAATTTTATCACAAACCTATGCGTTACTTCAGGTCATTTTCTACCGTAGCCCCACAAATTTCTCTCTATATTTTAGTGAAAGATTACCCCGGACAAACAGAAGGACAGACAGACAGACAGATATTTTAAAAAAGGGTGTTTTAGACGCTGCTGTTATATAAATAACTTTATGTACCTACCTACTTGAGAAAACACAGGTAGTTATTTTGAAATCACAGACAGACACTTCAATTTTATTTATCTGTATAGATTTAGTAGGTACAAGATCCACACTTAAAGTGTATTCCCTTCATCGATCTTTTTACGAAATTAAATACACACAGATAATGTATAAACAAAATGCACTAGGGTTGTCACTTATTTAGATTACTGTGTTATAATTTTAAAAATTTAAAAAAAAAGTTACCAATATAACATTAAGCTTTATAGCTTTTAAAAATAATACTAGTGATTTATCCTCGCTTCACTCGAGAGCGTCCCTTAGGTACTTTTAAATAGATAAAAATAGTTATTGTGAGTGTGCCTTATGAAATAGACACATGATGTCGCGGTTTTTTTGTTCTTTTCGACAAAATACTGTCATAGTTCAGCCATTTTATATCCATGGACACTTATATGTATATATGAGAAGTTTTTTTATGTTTTCAGCAACTCCCTTCGGACAAGTACCAGTTCTAGAATTAGATGGAAAGAAGTATGCCCAGAGCTTGGCCATTGCCCGGTATCTTGGAAGGAAGAACAAACTATTGAAGAGGATTTAGAGATCGATCAGAACGTTGATTTTATCAATGATATACGTAGAGGTAAATCGATAGGGAATTTCAGGACGTGAAGCCATAAGACACACTGAGTGGTGGTCTACTTCGATAGACGGTATACCATGCGGGTTGCTCCTGGTACTTATCTGATAGCAGAATGAACATGGAACAACACCTAGGGTGTGTGGTCAAAAGAAAGGTCCATAGGATTAGGGAATTGCCCACTATGTCACGAAGAAGTGAGTTTTGGAAGATTTTAAGTAACGATAACGTTTGGGTATCTAAATAAAAACTTTATAATATGCTTGTTATTTAAAAATAACTTTATTAGACTCATGTTTATTTGCAATATACAAAAGCTCATACAAATTTTAAAAATGCTATCCGTCTACTTGTATTTATCCCAGAAACCTATCAAGGGGTTTTAACAAAAATTTAATCTAGCATAAAGAACATTCTTCTTTTTAAAACGTAAAAAGAAGTAAAACAGCGAAAGGTTTTCACAGTAACACGGAAACGACATTAATTTAACTTTTTAATACAGGATGTAATGTTGATCAATGCAAAGGCAATTTGCTAGTGAATCATTCATTTTGGACTATAATTGATAATAATTTAAATTAAAAAAAAATCATTTTATTTATCCTAGCCTTTTACATCCTCTTTTCTGTATCAGAAGAAGGTAGTCGGTTTGATTCTGAAAATGCAGATTCCTCTATCGAATTACATGGAGAATGGGAATAAAGTGATTTAATTATATAAATTACATCTTATCAGATGCTTGAGGTTTATTACGAAAAACTTGCTGTGTTTAAGGAAATGAAACACGAGGACAACGTTAAAAATCTATACCCTGGTATACTTAGTAAATTAGATGAAGTAATAGAAGCGAATAATGGATATATTGCTTTAGGAAAGGTTTGTTTTCTCATCTTGTATAAAGAGTAGTATTTGCCCACGATTTCGTCCGCGTAAGTTTATTTAGAGGTCTAAGTAATTACTGCGCTCGTAAAGATGGTAATCTCTCAATAAATAGGCAAAATGCAAAAAAAAATCAAATCGGACAGGTAGTTCCAGAGATTAGCACTTTGAAACAAACTAACAAACAAACTATTCAGCCTTATGCATAAAATAAGTATACATGTTTAAAGAGCTAAAAGTTGGTCTGAAATTTATGTGGGACCTATTTACTAAGAATAGCATTAGAATAAAAACTTAAAAAAAAGATTTTGTTTTTCTATTTTTAGTGTAGACATAGTAGTAGCAAAGTAAGAAGAATGTATTTTATAAACAAAAAAGTAGGTGAAAAATCAATCATCCCCTATGTTCTACATTTAGGGGTGGATTTTTTTTCAAATTTAAATGAGACCAACTTTCAGCTAAACCTGATCCAATAAAAAAAATCAAAATTAGACTACACTGTAAAAAGTTAAGTGTGGTCAAACATAAAAAAATATAAGTACGTGTTGAATTAAGAACTTTTTCCTTTTTTTTTCGTCGATTAAAAATTGGTTTATAGGCGAACATCGTAAAATAGAATATCCACTTTTTTAAGAAAAATCTTCTAATTTATTTTCATTACAGTTAACTTGGGCTGATTTCTTCTTCGCTGGAATATTTGATTATTTGAAGGTGATGCTGCGAATGCCTGATCTAGAGAAGAAATATCCTAGCTATCGACTAGTTATAGATCACTTATATTCTATTCCTGATGTACAAAAATATAGCAAAAATATACAGTTAGAATTTAATTATTAAATATATTATAGTAACTATAAAGTAGTTATATTACTTTTATTCCATACTAGCATTCCGCCCGCGTTCAGATGACCAACAACCAAATTCTTAGGTTTTACATATTAGTATACTCTTACGTTGCAGTTTTTGTATTTTTTCTCAGAAATGAGACATTTTCCCGCGGTAAAAAGTATCCTATATGTCGACCGGGATAACCAGCTATAACCATACCAAATTTCATCAAAATCCCTAATGGTGGTTTTTCTGTGATGCGGTAACAGACAGAGAGACAAAAATTCTAAAAACTATAGATTCGGCCTCTGTATCGATAATAATGTTTATTTCAATAAGATTTTCCAAAAAATATTTAATGTACAGATTCGGCTTAGTTACAATTTTATTATATGTATAGATTTTTAGAATTTCTTTGTCTTTATAGCGTGATTGTAATACAAAATTAATGGCTACTAATGAAATAAAATCAATTATTGAAATTTTAATCGAGAGGCTGCTTTTGGCTTTAGCTAGTTTAAAATATTCTGAAGTTACCTATGAATATAAATCAAATTATCAATAGAAAATTGTAATGCAAAATATAGAAAATCTTATAATATTAAATGGGTAATTCTTGTATGTATATTTTTCTCATTTCGTGTATCTCGGAAACGGTTCTAACGATTCTGATTAAATTTTGTATTTATATAAAGCAAAATCTTAGCTTCTTAATTTTATCTATATAAAGGTATCTTTTCTGAAAAAATGTAACTTTTCCGAAAAACCAGGATTTTCCAAAAAAAAAAACAAAAGAACACCGAGCGAAGCTTCATCGCCCAGGTACTGATTACTAAAAAAACGTTAATATTTTCGATTTCAGAGCTCATAATATAATTGAATTGATTAATAACCTTGATTATTACAGTGATATCTTTTGCTTCTGACTTTCAATTATTATCAATTGCTCTTATACAGTAAGCACTATTGTACTTTAAAAAAATAGGTGCTTGTAAAAATTCCTAGATGTAGTAAACATCTTCTATTGAAGATTCAGTTATTACTGAATAGACAACAAAATGCGCGACGTTGGGAACCTTCATACATTTCCCTTATTTTTAGGGTTCCGTACCTCAAAAGGTGTGTGTTTGTATGCAAGTGGTAAGCACAAATGCATTAAGACATAATTTTGATTAAGGAGGCATATTTACTCCACCTAATCAATTACTATACAATATACATTTTCTTATGTACGAACCAATGCTTCTAAGTAGATTAATCATATTGTTTCATTTACTTTCTTGTAGGAGAGAAATAATATAATATTCTAGACATGTAACAAAAACCATACCATGTTATATAATCATTTTTCTAAATATGCATAATCATGCTCTACGTACGTACTACGTATTGAATTGTTATTGTTGATTTAAGCCTACCACAATGATACTTTCTGTTCGATACTTTATAAAGGTTGTGAATGAATGAATATGGTATATGCTATTTGTTTAGTCTCATTAAAGATATTGTCAAGACAACACGTATTATCAATATTCACCCGCTGCATCGTACAATATTGAACCGTAATGCACAAAACATATGGTCCTTCGAGCCGGATGGATCGGTGAAGCGGTGAAGTGACTCGAGCGTTTGAATACAATAGACTACGTATAAAAAACTTGTTTGCGATAAATCAGTGAAGTTATGTTGCATACGTTTAACTCAAAACATTATAATTATTGGTGAATAAGTGCTAAAAAACATTGTGGTGGACATTAATTAAGGTTATTAGTGCAATTCACGGTTAAAACATAACCGTTTAAGTTGATTATAGACGATTTAAATATTATAATTGAACTACAGTTATTGTTTAGTGGTTAAAATAGAACTTATTAAGTGTGATTTAAAAGACCAGTTGAACAATATTTTTGTTTAAAAATAATACTTTTTATACGTTGTTGCAAGAAAAGTAAACAATTAACATTTATTATATTATATGTAAATCAATAGTGAACATTTGTTACGTTTGCGGTTTGTTAAATAAACTAAAAGTTATTCAATTTACAAAATGGCTCCACCTACTCCACAACAATCTCAATATTTGACTACATTAGAAGACATAGCCAACATGATACAAAAGGCGCAAATTAATATGAAGAAATGCCCTAAACAACGGTTAACAGAAGGTTATATTAAAGGAAGATTGAAAACAGTTGAAGATTATTGGACTATGTTTAAACAAACACACAATGAACTTTTGAAGTGTACACCACAAGAACATCGCGGAGTTTTGCCATATTTTCTTAATGAACAATACTTTACATGTGAGGAAATGTTTCTCTGTTTACAAGGAGATATGATGGATCAGCTTTTAAGTTTAGAATCGAAAAGGACGACCGAGGCAAATAATATGTCAGCGTCCTTACTAAGCGGGCAAGGGTCGTTCGCTAAGCTACCGAGAATACAATTACCTACATTTTCCGGAAGATATGAAGATTGGCCTACGTATAAAGATTTATTCATGGCACTTGTTCACAATACTAATATAAGCAATGTTCAAAAGCTACATTATTTAAAAACGAGTGTATCGGGAGAAGCAGAGAGATTATTAAGGCATATACCTATTACGGATGACAATTATACACCAGCCTGGGAATTACTATCTAATCGGTTTGGTAATACACGAGTTATTGTAAATTCATTAATGAAAAGATTATTCAGCCAAAAGAAATTAACTACTCAATCAGCTAATCAAATAAAGTCATTGCTCGACACTACAACAGAATGTATAAATAGCCTTAATAATATGAAGGTTTGCACTGATTATTGGGATCCCATACTAATATATCTCGTTGGACAAAGATTAGACGCCGAGTCACTTAAGGATTGGGAGGAGAGTGTTTATAAGGAGAATAAGGAGGATCTACCTACTTGGAATGAGTTAAAGCGCTTTCTTGAATCCAAATTTAGGACACTTGAATTAGTTAACCCAACAACCACTTATAATACCCGAGAAAAGCCTCAAGAGCACAAAACTTTTTACATCAACTCGAAGGCAGTGAATGCACAGCCTTCCTGTAGTTATTGCAAACAAGAACATTATATATTCAACTGTAAAGATTTTATAAATCAATCAATAGGAGAAAGATATGATTTTATCAAAAATAAAAGCTTATGTTTTAATTGCTTGGCCCCAAACCATCTTGTGTTCAAGTGTGGACGCAAGACTTCATGCAAGATATGTGGCAAAAAGCATCACTCCTTATTGCACAGAGACTCAGAGAGAACCAAACAAAAGGATGAATTAAAACAACCGATAGATACGAGGGTAACTGTAACACACATTTTAGGAGATAAACAACCTGATCAAATGGTATTATTGGCAACAGCACTGGTAGACGTAAGCACAAGTGAAGGACAAACACACGTCTTCCGGGCGCTCATTGATCAGGGCTCAGAGGCATCGTTCGTCACTGCGAGAGTAGTGGAGTTACTGGGTTTGAAAAAATTCAGAATCAGCGGCGTTGTTTCTGGAGTAGGTGACAACTCAATAAATGTAAGTCATACAACACAGTTACAAATAATTTCTAGATGTGAACAATTTTCATTAAAGGTAAATGCTTTTATTCTTAAATCATTAACTAGTATGCTACCTTCTAAAAATATAAATCTTAATTATCACAATTGGTCTCAACTTGGTAATATTAAGCTAGCTGATCCAACTTTTGCCTCATCTGGTAGGATAGACATTTTACTGGGTGCTGACGTATTTGGTAAAATAATAGACGTAGGGTTGATAAAGGGGCCAGGTGAAGTAGTTGCACAATATACACGATTAGGTTGGATTTTATCAGGCCGATTAGGTGATTCAAATACACAACATGTAAAGAGTTTGCATGTATTAAGACAAGTCGAGGAAGACAATAATCTTTTAAAGAGATTTTGGGAAGTAGAAACAAATTTATACAAAAAAAGAAAGATTCTAACTAAGGAAGAGGAACGGTGTGAAGAGAATTACAAGAATACAACGAAGAGAGACGAAACTGGAAACTACATTGTACACTTACCTTTAAAGCAAAGCATCGAAGACACGGTAAAGCTGTGTGGAAACACAAAGGATCCAGCAGTACATAGATTTAAACAATTAGAAAAGAAGTTTCAGAAACACCCTAAGTTTAAAGAAGAATATAAGAAAGTTATACACGAGTACAAGGAATTAGGACACATGAAAAAATCAGAAACAACAGATGATATGACCGCCGTATATCTCGCTCATCACGCTGTAATACGGGAAGAAAAAGACACAACAAAGGTTCGTGTGGTATTTGATGCTTCGGCAAAAGGGTCTGGAGGATTTTCTTTAAATGATACCATGATGGTGGGACCCGTACTGCAACCGGACCTGCGAAGTTTAATTACAACGTGGCGAATACACAAAGTTTGCGTGATAAGTGATATCGAGAAAATGTATCGAATGATCAAACTAACAGATGAACACACTAAATTACAACGAATACTATGGCGGGATAATCCTGATGAAAAGCTGGAAAGTTATGACTTAACAACTGTTACCTTTGGCACGGCAGCAGCTCCTTACCTCGCGATAAGAACCTTAAACCAAGTAGCTGATGACGAAGCAAATGAATATCCTGATATTGTACCTGAAATAAAAGGGTCATTTTATGTTGATGATTACATGTCAGGAAGTGATAATGTAGAAAAAACTAAGAAGCTATGTAATGATATTAAAACTGTACTAAAACAGGGAGGATTTAAAATGCAAAAATGGTCTAGCAATTCTGAAGAGTTGTTACAGTTTATACAAGGGGATAAAAATATAAAAGATACATTTGAAATTAAACTAGATAAAGTTATTAAGATTCTAGGTCTTACATGGGATAGAAAGGATGATACATTTAAAGTATCAGTAAACTTACCTGAATTAACATATCCTATAACAAAAAGGTCCATTCTTTCTGACGTTGCTCGTCTCTTCGACCCCTTTGGCTGGCTATCTCCTTTAGTAA